GCTGCAGTATTTGGAATGTAGCAAACAATACAGTAACTCAATTAATGATTGTCCACTGAACTCTTTTAAAGAATTCATCTGTTTTCTGGACCTTTAGCTGTATTACACAACTTTTTTTTGTTTTGTTTATTGCGGTGCCAGGGATGGAACCCAAAGGCCTTGCACATGCTAGGCAAGTGCTCTACCACTGAACTACATCCCCAGCCCTACAACTTTAAGTGAACACTTAGGCTTCATTATTAAGTATATGATACTTGTATACATGATTTGGGAAAAAATTGAGATGATGGCATGGAAAACTTATTTCAAATCTCACAGAATAAGTGTAGGTCACACTTAAGTTCTCTGCATGTTCCCCAGAAAGTTCCATAGGGGGTGCATTACACCTTAGGTGGTTTTCATCTGAATACTTATAGCTAATAAAGATTTTTTTAAAAGAAGGGTAAGGATGGCAATTTTTATAGGAAACAACCATTGTAAAATTTCCAATTTAATCACATCATAGCAAGCTGAAAAAATAGGCTTTCCAGTATATTCTGCATTTAAAGTATTTTTTTAAAAAAAACAGTGTCTCGCTATGTAGTCCAGGCTGGCAATGAACTCACTATGTAGCCCAGGTTGGCCCTGAACTCACAGGCGATCCTCCTGCCTCAGCCTCCTAAGTTTTGGGTGCATTCAAAGTCTTTATGGATTAAAATACTTGGCATCTAAACTGGACATGATGGCAGATGCCTGTACTCCCAGCACTCAGCAGGCTGAGGCAGGAGGATTGCTTCGAGTTCAAGGCCAGCCTGACCTACATAGCGAGACCCTCTCTTTTTTAAAAAAAAAAAAAAAAACCTTTGGTTTCTAAATGTCCCCAACACTCAGTGAGACCCAATATACTATCCAAAATTGAATACTTAGGTTTCCCTTTGCCTACGAATAAAGAGGGGGAAAAACCTTTCTGTCAATAAATGGCTTTATTTTTCATCTTTTATCTCATCCTTCTTTGATATACTATAATTGTAGGGCTAGAGAAATAAATAGATGAAACAGATTATAAGCAGTGAGAGATTTGAGGGCCTACTGTGCATAATAAAGTGCCATGCTTAGCAATAAAGGACTCTTACACACAGTTCATGGGAAGGTCAATTTGCACAGCCTTTATGGAGAACAAGACAGAGTTTCCTCAAAAAAGTAAAACTAAGCTGGGTATGGTGGCACACACCTGTAATCTTAATATTTTGGGATGCTGAGCAAGAGGCCTACCAATCTGAAGCCAGACTGGGTAGCTTAGTGACCTAGTGAGACCTGTGTTAAAATTTGAAAAATCAGAAAAACGTCTGAGGATATAGCTCAGTTGGAAGCCCCAGGGTGCAATCCCCAGTACTGCTAAATAAATAAGTAACTGCTGTATGATCTAGCTATCCCACTCCTGCATATATACAGAGGAAATGAAGTCAGCATACAGAAGAGATAGCTGCACTCCAATGTTTATTGTGGCAATATTCACAATAACCAAGACATGGAATCAACTAAATAAAAAATGTGATCTATATACACAATGGAATATTATTCAGCTCTAAAAAAGAATTAAATCCTATCATTTGAAGCAAAATGGATGGAACTGGAGGACATTTTGTTGGTGAAATAAGTCAGGCACAGAAAGAGAAATATTGTATGATCTCACTCATATGTAGATGCTGTCTACAGCCATACCACCCTGAATGCACCTGATCTTGTCATACATAGGTGCTTAAAAAAAAGTATCTCAAAGAAGAGAGTGGAATAATGATTACTAGAGGGTAGGAAGGGGAGGGGAAGAAGAAGATGGAGAAGAGTTAGATAACAGAGGCCAAAATACAATTAGATGGGAAGACTAAATTCTACTATTCTCCATCACAGCAATGTAGCAGAGTGACTACAGTTTATTAATAACAAAACATATTTTATAAACAACTAGAAGATAGGAGTTTAAAGGCTCCAAACATAAAAAGATGATAATGAGATAGAAATGTTAGTTGTCTTAATTTGATCACTACACATTGTCATAGCTGGTTTATAGATGTTCCCCCCCGCCCAAAGCCTCATGCACCTATAGGTGGGGCTCTTGGAAGGCAGCTGGATCATGGGTACATGATTCTGAATTAGGGTGTGTGATACTGGGATTAAGGGTGAGTAATAACTAAATCAGTTTAGCATAGTTCTGGGTATGGGTAATGGGAAGGCCCACCCTGGCTGTGGGTGGCATCACCCAAATGGCTTCTAGCCTGGATGGGCTAAAAGGGAAAAGGAGGCTTGCTGCTGCTGCTTCCCTGCCTCCTGCCTGCCCTGCCATGGACTGTTTCTCCTCTGCCATGCCCCTCTGCCATGTTACCCTGCTTTTCAGCCAACCAATTATGGACTGAAACCTTTACACACTGTAAGCTAAAATAAACCTCTTTTAACTTGTGTGTGTTGGGTATTTTGTCACAGCTATGAGAAAGTAAATAAGACATACACTGTGTGTATTGAATCATACATAACTATGTATGATTATTATGTTGTTATGTGTTAGAATGAAGGAATAAAATGAAGATACTGAGAATATAACTATGTGAACCTTTTGCATTTTAAAAAGAGAACAATTACTTAAAGTTGAAAATGGGAAGAGGGGTGGAGAAGTTTAAATCTAGCCAAGCATGGTGGAGCTAGCAAAGCCTGATCAGGGATAAGAGGATTCTTCTGCTACTTGAAAAGAAAAAGAAAATTAAAGGGGAGACAGGAGAAAAATCAAAACAGAAATAGTGATGCTTCCCTTTTGATTTATTTACTCAATGTACAAGTCTCTTGATTTTTGTCTAAAAAAGAATATGCCATATGTATGGAATATTCTTCTTTACATATATGCATATAGGCTGGGGATATAGCTCAGTGGCAGAGCGCCTACCTGGCAAGCACAAGGTCCTGAGTTCAATTCCCGGTACCAAAAAAGAAGAAAATGCATATATGTATATAATAAAATCACTTGCTCACAATGGTGAATGTTATTGATATGCACCTCCTTCTGTTTGTTTCTGAAACCCTAGTGTCTGGTACATAATATACCTTCATAAGTGTTTCTAGAATTAATATCCTTTACCTAGAGCCAGAATATAATTTTAAAGAGCTAGAAATTAAATAAACAACACTTGTTAAGGCCACAGGTGACAACTGAACACTAGAGATAAAAATTAAATGCGTATCAAGATTTACTGCGCAAGTATGGGCCTTGAGCACAGTATCAGAAATATCTGTATTTCACAGACAAGAGGCTATGCAACAAAAACTGTGCTACGAGTGCTAAGGTGCAGTCCCTATTTTATACCACTACCCTAAGATACAGTCTGCATAAGGCCATCCCAGCCGCATTCACCACGCTTGCTTTTATTCTAAGTGAGATGAAAAGTCAGTGGAAGAATCTGAGCAGAGCACTGGCGTGAGCTGACATTTCAAAAGGAATTGTCTGAATGCTGTGCTGAGAACAGACTGCTACAAGACAAGAGTGGCAACAGGGAAGCCAGCTAAGGTTTTGCGACAACCTGGGTGAGATCAAGTGACATCTTGGATCATGTGGTAGTGGTAGAGATGGTGAAAAGTGGTGACTATACTTTGTTTTGGTTTTGGTTTTGGTTTTGGTTTTGGTACCAGGAATTGAACTCAGGACCTTGCACTTGCCAGGCAGGCACTTGTGCCACTGAGCTACTTCCCCAGCCCTCAAGGTGGATATACTTTGAAAGAGGGGCTTATGGTCTACCAAAGAGTTGGCCGAGACATGCCCCCTGAGTGAAAGTGATGACGAGGAATCAGAGGTGATGTCATGGCCTTGAAGACTGAACAACTGGAAGGATATAGTCGCCAGTTACTGAGACAGGGAAAAAACAGGAGTAGCACATCTGAGTGGATATGTTAACTAGACAGCAGGACACACAAGCACACAGACTGTGTCATGGTGGATCCAAGCACAATGATGCACACCTATAATCCCAACACTGTGGAAGGCTGAGGCAGGAGAATCACAAGTTCTAACCCAGGCTGGGCAACTTAGAGACCTAACAAGACACTGCTCAAAATAAAAATGAAAATAAAAATAAAACAAAGAAAAAGACTGGAAATGTAGCTCGGTTCAAATAGCCTGGGTTAAATCCCCAGGACCACAGAAAAAGAGTCATCATGGTAATGTCACGGGACAAGATAAGATCACCAGGCTGAGAGCAGAACTAAAAAAGGCCTGTGCTGGGCATGGTGGGGCATGCCTGTAATCCCAGCACTCGGGAGGCTGAGGCAGGAGGATTGTTGCAAGTCTGAGGACAGCCTGGGCTACAAAGTAGGTTCAAGACCAGCCTGAACTGCACAGTGAGACCCTGTCTCAAAAAGACCCCCCCCCCAAAAAAAAAGCCTGAAGACTAAGTCCAAGTGTTCTCTAGCACAAAGAGTTTGAGGAATGAGGAAGGCATGGGAGAAGTGACCAGTGAGATAGGAAAAACCAGCAAAGCATGGTAACCTAAATCACAAATGAAGCAAGTTTTGTTTTATTTGTTTTGTTTTTGAGACAGGGTCTCACTATGTAGTTCAGTGTGGGTTTGAACTCACTATGGATCCCAGCCTAGTCTTGAACTCACGGAGATTCTTCTGCCTCAGCCTCCCAACTGCTGGAATTACAGGAGTGTGCCACAATGCCTGGCTATGAAGCAAGTATTTTAAGGAAAAAGACATGATTAGCTCTTGTAATAGCCATGCAAATTAGTTGGGCACAGCATCCATAACACTAAATGCTGAGAAAACAATTAGGTCTAACTCACTTCTGTGACCTGGAACAGATTGTCTAATTGGGCAAAAGATGAATTATAACATAGCCTTTGTCTTTATAAGACTCACATAAATGACATTTATCACGATTAAGTGGAAGTTTAATTGTATGCACACATAAGTTATTAGCATGGACTATGTAGAGTAATAACCCTAAAAAATTATTTTCTGCTGGAAGAGCTCGCCCATACCTGTACTCCCAGTACTTTGGGAGGCTGAGGCAGAAGGATTGCAAGTTTCATCCCAGCCTGGATAACTGGTGATTGAGTGAGACCCTGTCACAAAAAAAGTAAAATAAATAAATAAGCAGGGCTGGAGGTGTAGCTCAGTGTGAAGACTGTGGGTTCAATTCCTGGTACTCAAAAAAATTATTATTTTTTTTTCCCTCTCTGGCTCTAAGAATATGAGCTATAACCATAAAGCATTAAGTTTGATTTGCATATCATTGAGATCAACTTCCTGTATGATCACACTTTGTATGTTTACTACTGTTCTAATCAAATCACTTCAAACATGATGGACCTCATGGTTCATCATCCTAAAATTCTGTTTCCAAATACCAGAACTCACCTTCACAAAAAAGCATCAGTGAATGTCCTTGACAATGCTAATTACTTCCTGACTTCTTCTAAGTGTATTCCTCTAATTCATAAAAATGCCTTCATCTTTTTACTTCCTGTTTGCACCACCTTGAAGAGATACATAAGCTTCGAAAATCTTAACAGAGCCACCGCTATTGATTGGGTGTGGTTTAGATGTGTCCTTCAAAGGTGCAGGGTGATTGGAGGCTTGGTCCTCGGGGTGGCAGGATTAGGAGGGAGTTTCTTAGGTCACTGGGAACACGCCCTTGAGAGGTAGCTCTCCTGCAAGCCCCAGAGCTCTCAGGCAGGGTTGCTATAAATAGAGCAAGTCTGGCCCCACCCAGGGCTCTCTGCTTCTCCGCTTCCTGGCCTCCTGAGTACTGGGATCACAGGCATGCTCCACCACGGCCAGCCTGGCTCTGCTTAACACTGCTTGCCCTGACACACGCTCCCACCCTGATGCCATACCATTCACTGCCCTCACCCTCGCTAGAGGCCAAACCATTGGGAATGTCTGGTCATGACCTTAAACCATCAAAACTATGGGCTAAATAAGCCTCTTTCTTTCATATGTAGCCTGTGTCAGATATTCTGTTATGGTAATGAAAGCTCACTAATACAACCACTAATTTTAAAAGATTCTTTTACTACGGGGTGTGGTGGCACACATGTGTGATCCCAGCACTCAGAGGCTGAGGCAGGAGGATTGCCGCAAGTTCAAGGCCAACCTGGGCTACATAGTGAGTTTAGGACGAGCCTGAACTACATAGGCAGACCCTGTCTCAAAATGAACAAAAAAATAGGTTCTTTTACTAAGACACAGCACAGGGAAATGTAGATCCAAACCATAATGAAGTATCACTTCACACCTGTTAAGGTGGTTATTATCAAAATGACAAGAGATAACGAATGTTGGCAAAGGTGTGGAATTTGTGTGCACTGTTGCTGGGAATGTAAATTAGCATGGCCTTTATGGAAAACAGTATGAGATGCCTCAAAAAAATAAAACTAAGCTGGGCGAGGTGGCACATGCCTGTAATCCCAGCACTCGGGAGGTTGAAGCAGGAGGATCACTGTGAGTTCAAGGCCAGCCTGTGCTACATAGTGAGGTCAAGCACAGCCTGAATTACATACTGAGACCCTGTCTCAAAAAAACAAAACAAAACAAGAAAACTAAAACCAGATCTACCATATGATTCAGCAATTTCACTTCTAGGGATATATCTGAAGGAAATGAAATCCATATGTTGAAGAGCTATCAGCATTCTCATGTTCATTGCAGCGTTATCCACATTGGCGAACATATGAAACAACCTAAGTATCTACTGACAAATGAATGAGAAAAGAAACTATGTTACACCCAGGCATGGTTGTGCATGCCTGTGATCCCAGCACTCAGGAGGTTGAGGCAGGAGGATTGCCATAAGTTCGAGACCAGCCTGGACTACATAGTGGGTTCAAGACCAGCCTGAACTACACAGTGAGACCTTGACTCAAAATAAAATAAAACAAAATATAGAATGAGATCTTGCCATTAGCAATAACATGGATGAATGTGAAAAATACTGTGAAATAATACTGAAATAAGCCCAATACAGAAAAAACACTGCATGAACTTACTCATATATGAAATTTAATAGGAGCTGAATGCATGAAAACAAAGCACAGTGTTCACTGAGGGTGAGGAAGGGGAAGAATGAGGAGATATTGCCCAAAGATACAAACTTGAAGTCTGTAGGATGAATGTCTAGAGCCCTAACATACAGCATGACTATAGTTAATATCACACTATCTATGGAAATATTGGCTGAGCGTAGATTTTACGTGCTCTTACCATAAAAAGAAAGGCGCCCATGTGAAGTGATGGATACATTAATTGAGTTGGCTGCAGTAATCATTTCACTATGTATGTGTAAATCAAACTGTCCTCTTGGGAGTCAGGGGTGCAGCTCAGTGGTAGACTTTTTGCTTTGCATGCACAAGGTCAGGAATTCAATCCCCAAGACAAGAACCAGAAAAAAAAATCATTTTACTTCTTAAATATGTACAATTTTTAAAGTTATACTGGGAAAAAAACTAAAATTATGACACCAAAGAAGGGTCACGAAATATCAGCGCCCTTAAACATTTGTCATCTGTTTAACTAATGAAACCTGCGGACACTTTTCTCCAGAAAGACACACATGAAGAAACACGGCCCATGCTTGATGCATCCGGCTGCACACTAAAATCTCCTAATTAAACAAAAAGTCCTAACTCAGGCTTCTGCTTTTACAGATGAGGAAATTAAGACTACAAGACATTAAATGAACCTATCGTGGTGGAGAACTTGGCGCAATACATCCCCTAACTACACTTTCCTTTTGTTCATCAGCTGTTCCAGATGAACAACCTTGCCTAAAGTAAAACAGGCAGTAACCCTGAAAACTGTGCCATCTGACTCACTGCTAGGCACTCAGGGTTCGCTTCCAAAACGGAACCAGCAGAGATGCGACTAAAGGTGCCGCTGCAGAGTCCCTTGTCCTGTGTTTGGAAGGCTATAGCTCCCCCGCCTCTGTGCCTCATTCAGTTGCAAGGGACAATTTCCTCTGTCTGTCCTAATAATTGAAGTTTTCAATTCTTTGCCCCCAATTGACCATGACTCCACATACTATGATATATATTACCTCTTCCTCAATGGAAGACAACTAAGCTTATCCTTCAGTTTGAAGAACCCTAGTGCTGGAACTGCTCTTTACTGCTCAGTGGGCAATTTGCTTACTAAGGCCTAAGTACTGTGCTGGATGCCTAACTGAGCAGGTTCTTACAAACTAAGTCACCTAGGCTCTTGGCACATATGAACAGGGCTAAAGTACAGTACTAATCCTTGAAATGGCTTATTTGATTGTTAGAGGGCTTTATTCCTTAGCAGACTCTTCCTCATACTTAATTGTTACCTTCCCAATAGACTCTACTGTTACCAGACTTTCCTTCTGAAGAAACACAAAACTGAATCTAAACCTTTTGTCACACACAACGACAACCAAATGAAGAGTTAGGATACGCTTCATGAGTCTGTTCTTTTTAGACCTCTCAATTCCTCTTTATACTACATGGTATCCTGATGTTTACTAAAGGTAGAAGGCAGTAGAACTGAGCATTTTATTTGTCTGAATATATAAGTTTATATCATACAGGTACTCTAAATAAAAGTTACAATTCTAGTTAAGAATTTCTGCATTTCCAATTGATTTTTAAATCATTGGAACTAATTTATTAAAAAGTCTACAATGACTTTTTAGGGTCAACTCTGGCAGTAAGCAGCGTTGCAATACTCCCATTTGTATCACTTTCCCTGTGATATGAAATAGCGATGTCAACGTGGTTGAGGAAGTATAAAGTATGATTTTTAATGAATTCAGACTACAAAAAGATAAAGAAATGTTAAACTTGGAGCTTTTCCTAAAAAGTAAAAACAAAATAATATACTCTAATTGAGTAATAAAAATTGATACACTAGGCCAGGTATGGTGGCATAGGCCTACAATCCCAGCGTTCAAGAGTCTGAGGCAGAAAGACTATAGAATTAACTAACACTTTAATTTTAAACTTTATGGCTGGTATCTAGATGTTTCTCCAAAGCCTCATGGGCTCATAGGCAAAAAAAAAAATACACTAATTCTAAGAAAATTAAGCTATAAATTAAACATACTAGAGAATAAATATATTTTTATGATTAAAATTATAGCCAGGAGCATGTGGCCTAATATTAAGGTGTTAGTCAATTCTATAGTCTTAAATAGTTATTACAAAGGGTAATATTGTAAAACGAAACTGTGAAGTAATACAAATTAGCTAATAAAATGTAGGTATATAAAATATAAGGTTAGCAAGGGTTTGGTCCTTATACATAATGAAGCAAGAAAAAATAGGAAACATTTCAGGCTATTTCGAGTGGTATTTCTAGGAGGTGAGGTTATAGGCAATAATTTTTCTGTGTTGCTATATTTCCCAGTTTTTCCACACTTGCTCTTAGCCAAAAGGCAGAGAAGCGATCCAGTTTTTCCATAATAAGGACATATTTGCCTTTGAAATCTACAGGCAGAGCATCAACAGACAAACAGTGCTCATCAGTTCACAGCCTAGTAGCCACAACGCTGAAGAAAATTATGGAAATTTCTTAGATCAGTACTTCTTAAACTTGAAAGTTCACAAATCGCCCAGAGATCTTATGGAAATATAGATTGTAATTCACATTCACTTTCTTTATGCTACATGGGGAATGGAACCCAGGGGCTCACATATGGTAGGCAAATGCTCTGCCACTGATTACGTCCCCAGCCCTCCTGGCCCAAACTTAGAAAACCTTTGCTCTAGTCTAGAAGAAAGAACACTCCCAATTGCTTTCTTTTAATGGCAGTGGTTAAGGAAAAGTGCACAACTATTTTCCCATGGGTATTTAAGAGCAGTTTTGAAATAAGAGTTGTCCTAGAATGGATTGCATCCCTAAAAAGATAAGTTAAAGCCAGGCATGATGGCACACTTCTGTAATCCCAGGACTCTGGAAGGCTGAGGCAGGAGGATTGTAAGTTTGAGCCCAGCCCAGGCAACTGAGTGACATACCAAGACCTTGTCTCAGAATAAAAAATAAAAAGGACTGG